AAATCTCATCATACGTATTTAATTCTATAACAGTAAGAGCATACTGAATCTCTGGACATATTTAAATTCTAAAACCTCATGCACAAGGGATGTTTATAAGAATGTAGGCTCTGATACCATATATAATGCCTCGATATTCGATATGAGGCGCAATTCCTGCTCATGCCATTTTCATGCAAATGGCTTATAAAATATATACATGCGTGGATCAAAAATACAAACTAACATCCCATGTGATATGTACAATAACTATGTATACAAAATATGATGTCAGAATTTAAAGTATAATAGAACAAAATAAATTTTTTTTAATATGCAATAAATATACAAAAATAAGAACCATTTTACAAGTTCTACTTATCTAATAGCGGTGCTGACTCTTCATTCTCCTTTGAAAAATATAATGGTAAAATTTAATAAGTTTCACCAACTCAATAAGTATTATTATTCTCTCAACCTATATAAAATTTCATACAAAACACATGGTAAGAAACAAAAGCAATAAAAATGTTACAGTGCAAAATTTATGTTCTTATTTTCACTATTTCACATGTTCGTGATTGATTTGATGAATTCTCTCGAATATCATATACAAACCTTAAATGTATATTCTCATACTATCGAAAGTCATAAATGTACTTGAATATCAATTGTCATTTAAAAATATAATCACACATATAAATATCACAAATACACTCGAATATCATTCATAATATAAAAACTTAATCACATACAGATAAAAGATCACAGATACACTTGAATGGTCATTTATTGGTTTCATCGTGTGATGCCATTTATGTCATCATCGAGAAGAGGTGAAATGGATTCCCTCATTGCATGGATAACACATACACAAATCACACAATGGCCATAACAGATACATTTGCTAGGTGGCACACACTCACACGAATGTTTATCCACGTCTAAATTAGGTTTAGACTCTATCCATATGCAAGTTCACCATGTTTGCTGAACTTTTGTCACAGACACACACTACTCTCTCCGATTCAGACTAAACGAGAAGGTATTGAGAGTCCCTACTCTATTCAATCCTACCATCTCATTCCAAAATTATTAATTTGTTTAAATGATAATTTTTAACTTCAATTATCTATTTTCCTTTCTATTTTTATATTTATTTTTCTTTTTCAATTTTTCCTTAACTGGGAATTTTTCTTTTCAATTTTAGATTTCACCGGTCCAAATAATTCTCAGTTTATTAAGTTTGTTTTATGGTTTCATCTTCTCATAAGGTTCTAATTACTTAGGTTTATTATCATAATTTGAATTCTATTTTTTTTTATTAAAAATTGGGTTAATGTCCGTTCAAATTTTAAAATTTATAATTTAATGAAATGAATGCATTTTTGAAATTCAAACCCGGTTGAGATTTAAAATACTTACACTTTTACGCGTTTTCTCATATCTGTCTGAATATCTAAATTTTCATGTACACACGACATAATTAATTAAAATACTTCATCAAGGTCCATTCATCAACTAATAAATTCTATTCATTAAGTTCCTATGACAGAATCATACGCAGGAATA